GGGGATCCTATTCTACTTAAAATATTTTTAAAAAACTATTAAATCTAAAGCAATTTAAGTGTTTAATTTTTAATTATTTTATAATCATAAATAATACTCGACAGTATGGAGAAAAATTAGAAAAATTAGCATAGAATCAGCTCGTTTCCTACTGATTTTGATTATAAATTAGAAACTTAAATTAAGTTGGATTTATAATTTTTTATTATACTCTTAGAAACTTAAATTATAAAATTTTTATTCGTGAAATTTCCACACTGACACAATTTTAGGGGCTTGATCGTGCCAACTGACATATTTCAAGTGCCAAATTTGGTACTGTTCCAAAGCATTTTTGCAAACATGTGAATACCTAACTCAAAGGCCGAAAAACAAGTACCTAACCCTAGTCATTCGGCACAACGTTCCGTAATATAACAAGAATAAAAAATTTACCATTGGTCTGGCATATAAGATTCAATCCCAAAATAAGAAGTTAATGGACCGACCCACCACATTCATTTTTCTTGCATCATTTAAAGAAAATCAATAAATCAATGTAGATGCCGAATTAGCTTCAATCCCATTTCTTAGCACAAACCTCCATTGCTTGAGAACATTTAACCTTATCTCCATCAGCAATAGATATTTAAGTCACTCAAAATTTTGAATCGGATACTTATGTGAAATCCTTCTACAAATAAATAACATGCATACTTCAGCTGGTAGCCCACTTGGATAACTGCATCACTGCCCAGCCTTTAGGTAGCGGGTTGAATTGCCCCTCCATCGGTTATCCCCACAATTGTACCTTGTTCAAAAATTAATAATAATAAAGCATGATTGTTTTCACCCTTAAGTAGACGAATTCAGAAACTCCTTCAATCCAATAATCAATACCAATTGTAAAAACCATAAAACAGCTGAAATAGAATAACAAAATTGAAGAGGAACCAGACATTACTACAAAGCCCTTCAGTAGTTCAAACTTCCTACTTTTTCTAGTCCAAAAATAGCAGCTCAGCGCTTGCCACCACCACCACCCAGCTTAGGTCCCTTTGGAGCAGCACCCTTGGAAACGTTACCCTTACCCTGTGTCTTCTGAGTTTTGGCAGCGGTTTCTGCCTTTTTTGCCTTCCTCTCATCCTTGGTTTTCTTGATCCTCTCCTTAATTTCACTGCAGGACAAATGAAACCATCAGAACAGGTATCTAAAAGCCAATATATTTCACCCCAGTGTTGAATGTTCGGCCCTTAAACCTAGTCTTTGACTTTTAAGTAACCCATTTGGCTCCCATAAAATCTAGTCTAGGAGAATAAAGCAAATTCCATAAATGTCAACAAAGGCAAGCGTACCGTAAAGCAGCTTCCCTAGCAGCATCTCGCACTTCTGCCTTCTCAGTTCTCCTTTTCTGGATCACCTCCAGGGTGGCACCAACAATGGACCTAGAATAAGGTTTCTTGGTAGTGCGGCGCCTCTTTTTCACAGCCTCTGCAGCTATATCCTGTGAGTTGTTCGGCAATAACAATGTGAACGATAAACACAACATGATCATGTTACAACAATAATCACATAAAGACGACAGGATTTAAGAAATTCCACCTTCTTATGCTGCTTTCTGTACATGGCTGTCCATGTAAGCTTTGAAGGCTTCAATCTATTGTGGAAGTACCTTTTGCATTTTGAGTTGGCAAACAGGAAAACCTGAAACAATCACATGAAACAAAGAAAACTTTAATTTATCAGACAAAAAATAATCATCCATATAACCCACAGCCCCAAAAGAGAAATTTTTCCATGCAGTCTAAAACAAGTATACACCTGTGAATCAGATCTAATGAATCTGATCCCCTTGCCAGGGTAGATCTTTGCACCACTAAAGCGGCAGAGTTCAGTCCTGAAATGCAAAGATTGTGCATCAATTAACTAATAATGGAGAGACACGTCTCACTGTGTAAGTTTCCAAACCATCTGATGCTCATAATCAAACGTAAATGCACTATGGTTGAATCCCTAATCCCCAATGAAGATACCCAGGATATCAAAGATAAACAAATCGAACAAGAAACAAAATGTATTCAATCAATAATCCCAACAATAACAACGAACGCATTATAAATCTTCCCTGGATTCGATTTCCTCCTCCCTAATTTTTTTTTTTTAAACAAAACATCAGGAAATCTTGCCCGTACGAAATGGAACTTACACTATAAAATAATGCAACCAGATTTTCCATAAGTAATTAATAAAGGACAGAATCTGCAATCCAAAATGCTTCGCTTTGGAAGCTGATATAATGAAGGGGGAGAAGATAAAATAAAACAAGTTGAAACGCAAATCTGCGATCCATTTTCCAGTTTTTCGGTTTGATTTCTAGCATTTTCCGGGAAAGCAAACAAAGTTTAAGAAATCTAAATGGAGAGGAACGTACTTGAGAACCATGGTCGCGGCTGCACCTCCTGCTTTTGCCGCTCTGCGATCGTTTGCCGCTCTGCTATTTTTTTCATAAACCCTAGCAATTGAGTCCCTAAATAGTTTAAGAAAACCTAGTATAAATTTGCAAAAAAAGTCCTCTATTTATATAACTATTTTAAAAAGAACCCCACATCTTTTTGGAATTATGAAAAATAATTTCTTGCCATTGCTTGCAATTAAAACTTAAAAGCATTTGAATAATTTCACAGATAACCTTCAAATTTTAAATGCATACAGGGTGTGATTATTGGCACATTAATATTGTTAAGCCACAAAAATTTTGATTTTTTTCTTACACAGTATCTAAAAATATTAATTTATTAATTAATAAATATCAATTGTTTTATTAGTTATTACTTAATAGATATAATATTTAGCTATTTTTATCAGTCAAATTAAACAAAATTAGTCTTTTTAAAAATATTTTTTTGATAGTTTTAATGACTATAACATTATTATTAGTGACAATAATAATGTACTAATTACCGAGTCCTATTTTCACTTTTCTTGTATTTTTGTTTTTACAAAACTGATATAATTACTTTTATCATATGTATAATTACTCTATTATCATAAACTTAATCAAGTGTTTTACAATTTTAAAATTAAGTATTAAACACTTTAGTGCATTATTCTATATGAATTAGTTTGTAATTTTTATGATTTTTATTATTGATGAATGAATTTATTTCCTTAGAAAAAAAGTCAACGCTAGTAATGTAGAAATAATTGTTATAACTTCTACCATAAGAAGTTACCATTTATGTAAATTAATGCCACATCTAGCTGACAAACTTCAAGATTCTGCTTATTTTTCCATGAAATAATGTCAATTATTATAAATGTAAAAAATCATAGAAACATGTAGAGATTTCATCCAAAATGCTGAGAATAACAGTCTCAAGTTTACTCAATGATTTCCGTGGCAGGAAATTATGATTAACGGCTGGAATGTTTGTTACAAGAAAAAGTGGTGGATGGAGCCTGAAACCCCCACTCCCAAACCTCACCACATTAGGGTCTCAAATTGTACTTTCATTTTCATTTAAAGCTAGAATGGACATAAACCCTCATGACAAACACAGTTCTAAGCAAGAGTGGAGGAGAGCTTGCACGGAAACCAGCAGGCTTTTGCACTGAATCTGTAACTGAGTCACTTTCATCAAACAAATAATTGCTTCGGCGTATCAGTTGTTTAATAATTCACAACTTCCTCTACACTAGCAGAAAATCCAAAGAATCTGCTTCAAAACGCTTGATATGATAATATTATTTCACCGGTTTTGAAGACCCTCAATTGCCTTTTTCCACTGCCATGCTCTTTGCTTTGCATCCTCAAATGACATTACCTTCTTTGGCTGAGGCATTGCAAGAACTAGGAATCAGGAACACAACAACAGCAGGGAAAAAGGGATAAAGAAGAAAATCAGGGACAAGAAGCATACCGTGCAAATCTTGAAATGAGTTGGACTACTGACTTGGATACTGAGATCATTAGAATTGTCAGACCAAATGATGTTACCCTTAACAACAAGTTTTGAAGGGTCCACATAAATTAATTTTGGTTTATTAGTAAGGATGAGCTGCACTTTTTTGCTTGTTAATTTCTGTAGTTTCTTCACCATTGAGATCATAAGAACAGATTCTCCTGGCTCCAAAAATTGTTGCCTGTTGACATAGTTAATTTAAAATATGCATTATTTTAAAAAGAAAAAACAAAGAGGAAATAAAGAGAGATTTTTGATATTGTACCATTTCGAATCAAAGGAGTCAATTGAGGCAAGCCTGGTTACATGGCCAGATGATTCAGAAGACGATGAGGCACCGCCATTTCCATCATTCTGTCTAACTGAACCATCACCAATGTGGGTAGGATTCCATGAAGAATCCTGATGATCATCACCATCACTTGATTGGGCCTAAAAAAATAAGAAAATAAAAACATCTAGAATGTATAAGTGAGTGAGGTGAAATAGTAAATCAGAGTTAGATTTCATCCTAAACAAAACTTGAAAGAACATCCAGAGTCATACCGACGCCTCCACAGCAAGTCTTGGGGGTGTTTGTGATCTTAGCTTATCCCAGTCAACTCCCTTAAAGAAGGGATGCGACTTAAGTGCAGCATAACCATCAGGTCCAGCACCAGGTCGTCTGCTAGGATCCATATCCTGCATAACACAATACTTAGAGGCCACACTTTTCCCCCCCTTTTTTCTCCTTCTACTTCTTCTTCTTCTTCCTTCTTCCTTTTTTTTTTTAATGTACAACCACATTTATCAAATTTGATACAGCAAAAATATGCACAATATTCAAGACCCTGAAGTTGATACCAAGACAAAAAGCCTGTATAACTGATGCCTGGTTGTCAGTTCATTAAGATGCCTTGAAATAAATGAAAAAGTAAAAATTTCTCACTTTCTCCTCTTAATTTCATTATATTATTTCAAACTAAAGGACAACACAGGAGAGTTATTGCATGAGATTATATCCCTTTTCTGATGAGTAAATGAAGAGGGATTCAAGAGCTGAGACCCTAATACACAAGTTGCACAAAAATAAAACAAAATGAGTCTAACAAGAATATCAGTTGTAGAGAACATTGGAGTTTTTACCAGTAACCTATCAATAAGATCTCTAGCTTCATCCGAGAAATAATTCGGGAATCGTATATCTCTGGCAATAATTCTTTGGAAAATAAGCCATTCACTCGCATCTTTAAAGGGAGAAGTTCCTGAAAGCATTTGGTACAAGGTGCAGCCAAGTGCCCAGAGGTCATTTCTGTTTGAATAAATGTTCAAAATAGCAAAACAGTTCAGTAAGAACAGGGAAAATAAAAAGGTTGATCACTAATATCAACTACCTGCTTTACCTAAAAGCCAAGATAATTAAAGGTCAAAAAAGGGTTTTCCGACTACATGATTGAAATTGGATTTCATGTAAGTTGTAGCAAGCTTCAAATTTCAATTAAATCACAAATTCAATTTATTTTGTGAATGAAGGTCCCTCACCCAAAAGTTGCTGGAGAAGAGTTAAGGACTTCTGGAGGCACATATGCAGCTGTCCCAACAAAAGTGCATGCCTTGTCATCTGGACAGTCAGCAAAACCAATCTTTGGTTAACATTTGAGATAAAGGTCTGAAACGATTTCTTCATGATAAAATCAATTTATTACCTGAGGCTGCGTTAGGAAGCACTGTGATGCGGCTATCCTGCATGGTCTTTACACTTCCAAAATCAGCAATTTTAATATGCCCATCAGCAGTAAGTAGCAAGTTCTCTGGCTGCACCATTTATGAAAATTTTTAGCACCTTTTAGATGCCAACTTTAAATAGGATGCAATGGTAGGCAAGTACCTTTATATCACGGTGTATCAATCCCATACCATGAATGTATTCAAGAGCATCTACAACTTCGGCCGCATAGAATCGAGCTTCATCCTCTGATAAACGACCTTTCTGCACACATTAGTAACCAAATGGTGAATGCTATTGATGACACGCTACGCTAGCAGAAAGAAAGGATCTAAGTGCAAAAACCAAAATAACAAAATTTTGATACTAAGAATATTATTTTATGAAATAAACATGAAAGGGTGGAGCGGGGTTGGGGATGGCAAAATCATGTAGAAAAGTTTTACTACTTCCAAAGGAATCTCAAGAAATTACCCACTAGCATATGAAGAAGCAGATAAGAAGATCCATGATTCATTGAGATTTTGAAAGGATAACTTTTACGAATAAATTATAAGATGAAGAAATATATTCAAAAACAATTTGTGATGTATAGAATCCATTTTGAAGTAAGCTAAAAACATACTTCAAGAAAACTGCAGGATAAAATTTTGGAAGTAAATTTTCCAGAATTTTGTGAGAAGTTCATGATAAGGAATAACTTACTCTTGTTATTTGGTCAAAAAGTTCACCCCCTTCACAGGATTCCAGTGCCATGTCTTCACAACATAATCAAAGAGAACAGGGTGAGTGAAACATGCTATAAAAGCAAGGTTTAGATGCATCATCCATGATTGAAATCATAAACCAAGAATACCTACACAGTGAAAATGCATCTTGAAATGTAAAAAATAGCCGTACAACTCCAGGGTGGTCAAGTTGATCCAGCACAATACGTTCCAACTTTACATAAGCTGTCTTGTTTTCCTTGGTAATGAACTTTTTGTCCATGATCTTTAAAGCATATACAGTTCCTGTATCCTTCTTCTTTGCCCTCACAACCTGATAACATCATCAATATGATACTCAGAACTAGCAGTCTAACAGGAGCCCGCATACAAACAAGGACAAACCAACACAAAAGGTGTTCATATAACTGCACCTAAGGATTCAATGACAAACAAAACAAAAATATAATTCACTAACTTGACATCCATATTTCATAAGTATACAAGTAAGCACCCAAGGCATAAACATAAAACGACCAAACAGCTTCAAACTGGTAGCCCCTCAGTTTTTCAGAAATAGGAAGAGAATGACAGTAGAAGTTTGATTGTTGAACTGAAATTTATTAAATAAGTTATTTTCTGCAGCTCAAGCTTCCTGGAACTAAAAAATGGCATAGTCAGAATCTCGAGCATCCTAATCATCACCCACTTTCGGTGGACAAATTCAATCAACCATCATTTCGTCTCCCAATTTAGAAGCATTGAATAAAATTTATTATATAACGCATGCCTTCATTCATCAAAATCATCACAGTATACAGAGAAGAAAAAGGTGGATATTTATAATTACATAAACTAGTACCCTGTAGAAAGAATACAGTACACATGAGGATTTAGAAATCGGAATAAAACATCTCAACGAAATTAACAAAACCAAACAATCCTATCCACCAATCAAAAAACCAAAACCCCAGATGGGAAACAATCCAAATAAGCAAACCAAAAGTAACAAAGAGCCAACAAGTGCAGACCTTTGAGTAAGAACCAACGCCATAGATCTTCCCCAAATCAAAATCCTGAATAGTGAAATTCTCCTGCGGGGCCCTAAAGGCAAAGTTCTTAGATTTCAGGATGCTGTTGCCTCCATTGGAAGGGTTGTTGTCCTGAATCCTAAGCTTGGAATCAAAATCCTTCTCCATTGCCAACATTTCTCTCTCCAAAACTCCCTTACATAATACCCCAACGTCCTCGCTCTAAAAAGGAGGGAAAAAAACACAAAAAACCAAACTTTCTCTCCCTAGAAATCTTGGGGGGAGAGTTTTCCAGTCAAAGGGAGAAACTTGATTGGATTGGAATTGAATTGGATCTCTTTATAGTGTGAGAAAAAAAAAAAAAAGGTGAGGGATTCTCTCTAAATCTGTGTCTGTGTAAGATGATCAGCTTTAGGCTTCAAACTCAAGAAAAGTGAAAGATTGAGAGAGGGAATGGGGAATTTGATGGAGGAGAGGAAGGTATGGGGATTGAAGAGCTGAGCTCGGCTTTGCACATGGGATTGCATGATGGAGATCATCCCCTCTCCTTTCTCTTCTACTACTGTCCACTTCTCTCTCTAGCTTTCTTTTTCTTTTTCTTTTTTAACATTTTCTATATTTAGCTGGCACTGCCAAAATTATTAACCCAAAATTAGAAACTTAAAATGATACTCCAACTACTAAAGAAATAAAAATGTAAAAGATATTAAATTAAATTTATTTCATGTAAAAAGGAGTAATTTTTTAAGTTTATAATTCACAATTTCCATTAAAAAATAAATATTGAGATAAGACTCTTAACTTGCTTAATACAATGATTATAACTTTAATTACTGTGCATTAATTTATAACCTAAGTTCAAGGGGACAAAAAAAAAATCAATTTTTATCATCCTCTAAAAATTTTTGTACTCAAAATTAGGAAGAGTAAGGGTAAGAAAAGGATTTTCTTTTTAAAAAGAGAAGGGAAATTTGGTAAAGCCTGTGAGAATGAATTGCTGACTCAAGTACAATTTGATTCAGATGTTTATTGGTGGAGCAATCGACACATGTCCAGTTAGGATAGATATTCCTAGTCAAACAGAAACTGGGCATATAACACGTGTCTCTTTCTGACTACTCCTACTAAAAATTGAATCTTACCTGGATTTTATTTTATTTTTTTGCATTTTAATTTTTATAATAAGAATTGTAAAAAATGAGAAAATTAGGTAATTGTGATTTTCCTTTTGAGTTTTTCCCTTTTTTAGGGGGGATGGACATGGGCCGATCCATGTTATGTGTTAGTGGGTTACATTACAATTTTTTTTGGGGTTGTGGGCTCCTTAGATGTATGGAAAGAAGGCCCATGTTCTGTTTTTCGTCCTCCTGGGCTCCTTACCCTCCTTACCCTTGTTTAGGACAAAATCTGAAGTCAAAATAAATGGGTCCCCAAATGGATAAGAATGAACTAAAATCATTGTGTTGATATTGAAGAAAGTGGACATGAACCTTATCCTGATTTGACAAAGTTCTGTTGCATCAGGACAGGCGCGAACGTGCGCAACTCTATTTTGTTGCTTTGTGTGTGTGTGTGTGTGTTCTTAAATAATTACCAACACCCCCTCTAAACCTGTCTTCTATCATCCAGCTTCAAATGGAATTACAAACATTTACCGTTTTAAAAGTTTCATCCAGACATCTCAAACCACATTAAGAACTTGAATTTTTAACATTCATGTTAAAAATTTGCATAATAAGAATAATTATAACCGTTAAAGGTTAGGAGAAAGAAGGTGTTTGTATAAAATAAATAAAGATGTAGAGTGTTAAGAGACCCTGTACTTGAAATTGAAAACAAATATGGATTTTTTTTTTCCAAAAAAAAAGGGGGGAAAGAAAGGAAACACTAAATGTACAGCTTACTTAAAACAAGATCCCTAAACCAAAATTGGCAATTCACAACAGAATGGGAGATAAAAATGTACTAACTAGGATGAAAAGAAAACAGGAGCAGCTAGCTGATACTGTTGTTAAAACCTATTTCTTTCCCCTATACATCCCAACCATCCCGCCGCCCATTGAACTCCCACTTCCGGCCACCTGGACCTCCATACATTTCTGCGAATTTCGCAAGGCAGGCGCTTCTTATTTGGAAATGTTCTTGTGTGTTTCGGCTGATTGCTGCGCCTGAAAGTTTCGATGTATCTATTGCCCAAGCAGGTCTCACATATTCAACTGTTTTAGATGAGCTTGCATTTGCATATAAGAAATTCAACAGCACATCCTCACAGTTGAAATACTTGTCTACCAGTTCCCTCCCCAACTTGGCCTCTTCGCTCCAGTACATCTTGAAAGCTACTTGACTGTCAACAAAAGCTGCCCCGGTAAGAATCATGTTATACCCTCTATGCTTTCTGGCATACTTCTCAGCCCTGTACTTCAACGCTTTTGCATCAACAAACCGGGGGTAGAAGCCCACAATCCTATCAGGATATTGACGCCATACCCTGAATCCCCGCTCAATATCATCACAACTCATCATAATATCATCATCAAGTTCAAGAACTGCACGGGTCTTTATAAGTGGATCCATCTTGAATCGATTGTTAAGTGAGTTCTTATCCTCCATTCTTATCCTAACAGGCACTGCCGAGTCCAGTTCACTCAACTCAGGAGGAGTACCTTTGTTCCAAACCACAACAATCTCTTTTACAGAAGTGCACCTTGAGTAATGCTTCACATACATTTTCAAATTCCACAGACGAGCATCATATGTCATAGCCAGTAATGTAAATTGAGAGAAGTGACCCCTCCAGGAGTAAGGTTCATTTGCACCATTGCCCCCATAGATATTCTTAACTCCTGCACACATAAGTGCAACCCCAGAAGCAAATATCAAAGCCAAAACAAATCTTCCAGAATATGAATTTGACTTTATCCTGCCTCGAAGAAGAGATGGTATTCTATTCAAGCGGCTGCAGAATCGCCTTACCTTCAAAGAAAACATATCTGCCCTCTCCCACGCCAAAAGAGTATCACTTCTCTTCCCTGAGTAGTCAGCACACCAGTTGAGGGGGATGATGCAGTTCACAGCTCCCAATAGAACACCCAATAACACAACAACACCAGCAACAGCTGCAACAAAAGCACAGCCAAGAATAATGCGATGGACTATGTCTCCTGAAGGAACTCGGTCCCCATCCATAACCCCAATCCACTGACCAGAGCTTAGCTGCTGTACATCAAGGTGATGGTAGCGAGCACCATTCCAAGCATTTCGACCCTTATTAGGCTCGTCCAAGATGAATGGGACTTCAACTTCCTTGTATTCATGCTTAGAAAGAACTTCCACCTTAAAGACACGGACGCGTCTCCCATATGTCTCACCACAATCTTGACCAACCCGATACAAATTCCCAGTATACATAAAAGGTCTGCCGCCATTTCGAGCCCCCAAGCTTTGGTCCACATTATAAATAGGGTTCTCCTTGTGTGGTTTCCAAGGACCCAGAGGAGAGCTGCTATACCAAATTTCCAGCTGTCCATTCTTCTGGGATCCAAAACTGCTGTGATCTGAGCCAAAAAGCCAATATTCTCCATCATGATTAATGATAAAGGAATCAACAAATGGCTTTTTCATGATGACTTTCTCCAGCTTCCATTCTAAGGGAAAGTTACTTGCTTGATAAAGACGAAGTTCACCTTTCTCATTGCTCTCAGGCATCATATATATCTGTAGAAAAAAGTAAAATGACACAACTAATCAATGAAGGAGATACCATAAATTCAGAAAGCATTATGATAATAACTGAGTGGAAGATTTTGGTGCTCATCCTTATCAATAAACACTAGCAAAATTTTGTAAACTTCTTTAATTCCCTCTCTGCAATCAATGCACATGTTAATAGGCATCATGAACACTACTGTAGATGACCTCTCTAGAACCACAATCTATGTTATTAGGCATCATCAGTACAATCATCATAACCAGCCTAATCTGGTAATGTTAAAGCATGCAGAAGCAATTAGTTGGTTTTCAGTCAGCTTTCATCCAGGTTACACACCAAAAGTTCATTCTTAAGGATAAGATGCCATAAGCTTATGTACGTTGAGAAATAAAAATGAAAGAAATCTATAGTCTTACTTGGCCAAGGTAGTTGAAGACATAAGGATAAGAGAGATGCCACTCCTCATCCAAGGCAATTCCCAATTCTTGCCAAGTTGCCCCCTTATCGGTACTTTTAGCAACTCCAATATCCCCTTGCATGGTGAATGAATTCTTGGTTTCATAGAAGATATAAAAGGTATCTCCCTGGATTACGATGCAAACAGAAGCAAGGATGAGAATAGAGTTCAAGAATGAAGTGTATGTGAAAATTAACAACAAAAGAAAAACTAAAAGCTAGGAAATATTTTTAAAAAATAAAATAAAATAAAATTATGGTTGACTACATACATGAGAGACACAGAGAGCTTATCAACTTGATATAAAATCATAAAAGAAGTTATAAATTGGACGCTGGCACAATGCAAAAATAGATTCATAGCAACATAAAAGCAAATAATAGATGTCTTCCAGTCATGCAGAAGTCAACATTATAAATGTATAGGTTTTCACAAGATTTCTCTAGTAAGGTAATATAGAGCAAGTTCTAAGCTTGCTCTGTTCTTTAATTGCTAAGCACCAAATCACCGATATAGATGCCTACACATGAGCAATAAATGCATGCATGCAAAAAATACATAACAATATGCTTGTGAGTGCATATGTGTTATTCTGATCTGCACAGGCTCTTCATTCTGCAGAAAAAAGATTTGGGATAAAGCAATTTTACCTTGGGACAATCCCATGCCTCTATTTCCAAAGGGCAGAACTTAACCAACCAAAAACCACAATCCATCCAAAAAATAAAATAAAATTCTCAAGTCTATCCATGTGGTACTGTCTAGCTCCCAACTTGATTGCAATTGTGCAAATTGCAAATATATGTCTAAATCAAATGGTTTCGTTTTCCAAATTAAATTAACAGTAACAAAGTCCACAGATTGCAAACCGACAAAAATAATCAAACTAGAAAATTCATTACTTTGTTCTAAAGATTATACATCTAAGAAATTACGGAACACTGTTCATGAGCATCGGTCATAAGAACAAAACCTTCAAATCGAAAAAAAGTAAAACAGTTAAAAAAAAAAAAAAAAACCTGAATATAAAGAAAAGGATCTGCAACAAAGTTACTAGGGAAACCAGAGTCTGAAGCTGAAGAACAAGTTATAACCGGATTAGCTATTGGCCAGGCTGCACTTTCATTACTCCACACATTCAGCTGCACCCAAAATTGACCCAGAAACAAAGCATTAAAAATTAAAAAAAAATAACTTGAGAACAAACCAAAAAATTATACTAAAAAAAGAAAAAAGAGAGAGACCCAATTCCAAACTAAAATCCAGTCTTTACACAGTAGCTATAAGCATAGACACATAAACACCAAAAAAAGAAAAAGAAAGAAAGGAAAGAGAAGCCTCGATGACAGAGAACGAGAAATGAGTAGAGACATAAATCATTTCGATCAAAATGAGAAATCAACTTTAAAAAGAGCACAAAAACACTAACAGTTTCAAGGGGTTTGAGAGAAAAAGGGGAGTCCCCATAAAAAACGCCAATAGCCCAAGAACCCTCATTATCCTCCTGGCAACCGAGCCAGGGCAGACCAGAACGGGCATAAGAGGCAGAAGAGAAGGGTCTCAACACCACCCAAGCGTACAGACCCGCGATCAAACCGTACAACACAAAACACCCCACCCAAAACACCAACCCAGAAGTCAGAATCCGACGACCCTGTGTCCCGCTGCCACCCCCACTCCCACCATTAACACCACCTACACCCACAGCCCCCATTCTATCAACCCCCCCGTTCAAAAAAATCTCACCCCATCATCTCCTCCCCACCATTCTCCCGTCCCAGCACCACCACCACCATTGCAACACAAAGATACAATCTTCCTCCACACACAGTCTCTACCCCTTTTTTTTGCGGTTTTGATTTGTTGTTTAGTTTACAGAGGAAAAAGTTAACACAAAAATCACTCCAGGGTTTTTTGTTCTCTTTTTTTCTTTTTTTCTGTTTTTCTTTTTCGGAGACCTTTTTTTTTCTGTATGTGTATGGGATTGTGGTGAGTACAGTCTATATATAGGTGGGGAGGTGTCAGGAATATGAAAGACTAGGTAAGTGCAAACAGGGGGAGATAAAATGCGCGAGTGTGGGGCGAGTGAAGTACTCGCTGACAAGATGGGGACAGCGAGAGAGCGTTGTGCGCGCGTGGAAATAGGAAGCGTGAGAGTGATAGCTGACGTCGGGATATATATGGGAAGGAGAAGTGGGGCCCTTTTCCAGAAGGGCTGGCCGTGGAATTTCCATTTTTTTCCTTTTTTTTATTGAAAAACGAAAATAATGTTTTCCAGTCCGTCTCTTGTCTATTGTTTCGGAACCTTCCGCGTTCATATACGGTTTGAAGTTTTTATTTTTTTAATATTATTTATAAGTCATGAGTTTAAAAATAAT